CATCTGTGGAGGATGGATAGGGTGCTTATTGTACCTGTTGTTCTCTCCTGTACAGGTGTGATACCACACACACTACACAAAAGCCTGGGAACATTGCAATTGAGTAGAAATACATACATCACACTACGGAAGGCCACTATATTGAATACATGTCATATTGTTAGGAAATTCCTGAATACAGACACTGACACTGACACACTTATTTAATTTGTTTTGGTTGCTATGCCTTGACTCTGGTCCGGCATAGTACACAGCCACCGGTTTAAACCGAGTATTACCCACTAAACCCAACACAATAATAATAATAATAATAATAATAAAAGTGCAGAGCCCAAATGGTTAGGAGTTGAAGGTTGAAATTTGGTACACAGTTAGGGTATGTCACGAGAATGTACACTAAGAAGGGATTTTTCGAAATTCCCCCCTTGGGGAATTTCAAACGTGGAATTATATGTGGACATCAAATTTTCAGATTATTAGGTATATTAAATACTTGGATTGCATGTCACAAATTTTCAGATTTTAATTTTTACTTAACATTAAAATATAATACTTAAATACTTACAATTTAATCTTTTCTCTTATATATTTATGTACATTAAATTGTAATAGTATTAAAATAAAAAAATTATATACATATATTAAGATATATTTGTACTGTACATAATTTGTATGTGTGTCAAGATAATATATATACATATGCAGGGTGAGCCATCGAAAACGAAACGGCAGAGTTATCGTGTTCGTCCAAGCAAATCGCTCGGACAGGTCGATTTTATTCTCAAGGGGGACATCTTCTGCAATAAAGTTTTTGCGATTTTGAATACAACAGACAACAAAAAATTTTAAAAACTCATTCATTTTTTTATTAACTAAACAAACACTTATTTCGGAAAAAAAGTAACACAAACTATTAACAAACATAAAAAAGCTTTTTAAGCTGGACCGCATATGCAAAGAAAAAAATATTTTCCCTTGAGAATAAAATCGACCTGTCCGAACGATTTGCTTGGACGAACACGATAACTCTGCCGTTTTGTTTTTGTTGGCCCACCCTGTATACAAATAGGCTATAGTTCAGAAGAAAGAATAAAATATAAATTAATAGCAAAGAACTTTTAATAATATAAACAATAGTAATGTTAATGAGTATATTTTGTTAAATTTAAATTTAATCAGTACAGATAACTGGCATGCAAAAGATTATATTAGATATGATATGAAGATGGAATGGGAAAATTTTATGAAAGGAAAACAAAGAATTATATTACTAATTTGTTGATGGTATACTTAAGTATTTTAGTAATGTCTATCTCACAAGTAATGTAATAGCATGTCCAGTATATGGTTGAATTTTTAAATATGTCCAGAATTTTAAATACGTTAATTTATAATAAAACAGCCTAAAAATGTAAACTGATTAGGGCATGATGCCAAAATGCATATTAATAGGCTGAACTTTGATTAAGAATTTTATTGCAAAATTAGTAAAGTGTTATATTTTAATGTTAAATAAAAATTGAAATCTGAAAATTGCTCTCTTCGTATGATAAATCCTAAAAGACATTACAGCCTCAAAATATAATAGTAACAAAATAATTAAAATTAATAATGGTAAACAGAAGGGTTAGAAGCATGCAATTTCATAATTTTTTCAGTAAATATTATTTTTCTATTTCTTTTTACATTTATTCTTATTTTTACAAAATTAAAAGAGCTATAGATTTTAAAGTCTTAAGTAATGAAAGCAACTTTGAAAAAATTCTTCTGAAATTAAAATAGCATAACTTCCGGAAATAAATTAGAAATGAGAGCATTAAATAATTAGGTAACGTATGTAGAATGTATTTCCGAAATAAAAATTGCATCAGATTGTAATACAATAAACATTATTTTATTATGAAGATTCTATTAAGTTTTTTTTAAAACAAAAAACATAAAAAAATAACAAGAATTACACTTACAATTAAAAATCGTACCTGTTACCGGCATGTATCCTATAAAAAATCATCCACAAACGTTTTTGAACTTTATGAAGTTCTTCTTCAGGTGGAAATGGAATACTTGAGAAAAAATCGAACAGGAGATTTCAAATCGAAAAGTTCGTGAAATTCTGCTCCGACTTCAGTGAACTTTTCGATTTGAAATCTCCTGTACAATTTTTTCTCAAGTATTCCATTTCCACCTGAAGAAGAACTTCATAAAGTTCGAAAATGTTTGTGTACACGCCAGTAACAGGTTCGATTTTTAAATGTTAGTGTAGTATACTTCCGGTGAAAGTAAAGGGTTGAACAGTGTAACAAGAATTATTTATTAATTTCAAAAACTAATTGTAAGAATTAATAGAAATGCCAAAAATTCATTTACCAAGATATGAAAATGAAACAGTATGAGACTTAATGTGATAAGTGTCCAGTTCCTTATCACTTGAACAACAATAATACTTTGCTTTTTTATAAATAAAGAAGCAGAAACTAATAAACAATTTTTAGACAGCTGAATACTCTCTCCAAAAAACAATATTTCCGATTTGAAAAAATAATTTTAACTTGTCTTATTGTTTTTAGAATATAGTCATATTAGAGATTGCAGTTAAAAGTATTTCAGATGTAAGAAAAAATAATATAAAAATTCCTTAAAATCATGATCAGATTACGGTAGAGCCTCGATTATCCGACCTAATTGGGGACTGAGGTTGGTCGGATAATTGAAAGGGCGGATAACCGAAAAGTATGAAAAAATCCATTATTAGTGTAGTATATTATTATATCCCATGTAATTAGTATATTTGTATATTAGTATATCGCTATTAACCTACTTCGCGTTGAATTTTCATCGATGTTAAGCCTAACAAAAATTTTTTAAATTAATAATTGTCGCTATTGTATCGTTAAATATTAGAAAATTAAGCCTTGTTTAAATACTGGCTCCCTTTCATGGTCGAATGAGTGTTTCCAGCTAAAACACGTAAAAATAACATTAAAGTAGCCAAGACATAGCCAAATATTGTAGCGCCACATCAATAGTGGACATTTGAAATTTGCCGACTAGGACGGTCGGATAATCGAGGCTCTACTGTAATATAAAAAATATATACAGTGTTGAATTTGCAATTTAAAAATGATTAATTTATCACTTATTTTGTTGAAAATTTTATTAAATTGCCTTTGTTTTAATTTGTGGATTTTGTATTTTGTAAATAAATTCAAAAATTATTTCAGGTTGTTGAATATATAACACCAGAGAAATTTAAATATTGGGAAGAAGTAGGAAATGCTATGGGTTTTGTTTATACTGCAAGTGGACCATTAGTCAGGTCATCATACAAAGCAGGTTTGTTAATGTTTTAAAACATTTTTGTTTAATAAATTTAAGACAAAATCTTTAATTAATTAATTAATACAATTTATATTAACTGTAAGTTGATAATTTTTAATTGTAACTATTTCTGACTTTAAGTAGAATATTATTTAATATAATAAATATTAAAACAACATTTTGGTTAAAATCAACAAAGAAATACCATAATATACTGTATAGACAGGGTATACAGAATATACTGGTCAGTTATACTGGTTAAGTTAACATCGCAAAAAAGACCAGAAGAAGATTTTTCAGCATGTTAAAAATAAAACTTGCTCTCCTTGGTTTTCTCTTCAGTTTTGTTGGAAATTTCAGAAAATATTTTTACATTTTCTGTTTTCATCCACATTCATGCTGTATTTTGTGTGTGTGTTTCTGGCTTAAATCAGAATTATTGAAATTTAGTGTACTATTTATTACCTTTGCCATTTTTGTAAGCTTTCTTCAGTGAAGTTGATGCATATTACAAGTGATTTTTTAGTTTTAATATTTTCAAATTTCTGCGTTTTACACTAAGAATATAATATATGGACCGTTTATTTTGAAAGTGGTGTAAGTCCATTTTTGGAAAAAATTGAGAAAACACATAATATACATACAATTTAGTGTGAACTTTTTATTTATAAACAATTTACACTTAACATTTTAAAATAACCATAAGCTTTGATGAATTGAAAATTNACATTAATATAATTTTACTTTTTACTTTACTTTTTTAAGATAAACATTTTTAGAATTTGATATAAATAAAAGCAAAACATAAATTGCCAAATTTTAAATACATTTTAGTTGTATTAATTACATGAAAATTTTTAGGTTATGCTTTTTAAATTGTTAATCAAAAGTCTAGCCTGGTCTTGTTAACCTAGTCTAGAAAAGAAATTTTTTATAAGAAAAAATCAGGGTCATGAAAATTGGTTTCAGGTCATGAATTTTTTTCTCGCAATCTAGTAGAAACACTACATAAATGGATTCTTGATTTAGTGAATGATTTAGCTCAGTTTACTACACCTAGAATCCACTGATCAATGTAAACATAAACATAATGATTTGCCGATAAAGTTAATTCTTATCAAAAATATATCAGTTAATTGATTTGATAAAAATCTATAATAATATTAAGACAATTGAACATTCTCCCAAAGAAATAAAATATTTCTAAAATATAATTTATTCAACTTTCTTAAATTATGCTCAGTTTGTATTTTGGATTAAAAAGCTATAATGATATAAAGAATGTATGAAAGTTTCCAAATACAGTAAAGAATGTAAGCAAAATGGAATAGATAATATGAATATTTAAATAGAGAAATGAATGGGTAAAAAATAACTAATAATAATGTAAATTGAAAAACTAAATTAGCTACACTATAGGATTAGGTTTCTTTATGGCAAAGCCTCATCTTATGTAATGCTAGGAAAACAGAGATGTAATAAATGCTTTAAAATTCACAGTGTGAGGTGTTTTAAATTAATGCATCATTATTTATTTTTAATCTGTTCATTTTTATATTTAAATTGACTCATTAACCATGCCAATGTCACTATTTGTTGATCATTCAACATTCACTTTTCTTTTCTGACAAGACAGAAAGGAATTTATTAGTTTAGAAATTTGCTTTGTCATTTGTGTCACATTGTGTCTGTCTTTACATTCTTTTCATCCTGTAAATAAAAAAACTGCTTATTGTAATTATTTAAAAAGTGTTATGCATTGTCAATAACTTAATCTTATTTTTAACCTCACATTATCTTGATTTGATTAAATTTATGATATTTAAACTGAATATCAGTTTTACACTTAAATGACAATTTTTATTAAATATAAAAGAATATTTATATTAAATTAAAAGCATTAAGTGAAAAAATAAATCTATGTTGACTGATATTTCACATGTTTTTACTTGTGCTAAAACATACATTGACATTGAACAGTACTTAACAATAAATTGCTAATTTATTCAATTATTTCAATTTTAAAATTTAAGATTATCAAACAATTGAAAATGGAAGAAATTATTTTTAAATACTTAAATTTTTTTCATTAGTAATGCTCCAAATGATAATGAAATTTTCCATTTTTAATTATAGCATTTATATTCTTACTAGCTTCAAGGACCCGCTTTGCTGGGTTTTTATTTGTTCGTACATTTATATTTAACATAGTTTTTGTTTTTTATATATAAAGACTGTTTTTCTAAGTAATCTAGAATCTAGCTACAAGGACCCGCTTCGCTGGGTTTTTATTTGTGGGCAAAAAGTAACGATAGTGAAGATTAAGATAATTACATTATAGCCAATCTTACCCGTTTTCACNAGATCTGACATATCCAGGATTAACCATACCCAAAAAGTTCCTGGGACTTTAGACCATCTGGATTCGTCACTGGGTTCCCTAGAGCAGTAAGTAGGCTGACATCTTAACCACTGGGCCATCCATACAGTTATGTAAAATTGTTCAAAACATAAATATTAATATAGCAATATAAGGCTGAAAATGTTTCAAAATAAATTATTCTATTGTGTATTAAAACAAGCGGCGTTTTAAAATTAAGTTTATTAATTTACAGTGCAAATTTTAAATACTTATGATTTGTGTACATCTAAAGAAAGAAGTTGGAACCTATTAAGAATATTTTATACATATGAACCAGGGTTGACAAGAGGATAATAAGAGTCTGGGACAAATTACATATTGGAATCCCTTAGCAAATTATATTAAAGGAAGTAAACAAAATATTATTACTGGCTCCTAATTCCTTGGGACTCAGGACAATTTGTTTCTTTTGCCCACCTCTGGGCATCTGGGTGTGTGACTGAAATGAGTTTCACTTTCTTTCATACTCAAATATTTTTTTATGTCTGCATTTTTTATACTTTTTTAACTATACAAGTGTTTAATTACTAATATTTACAGTATATATTACTATTTAGTAGTAAAATGGAACTTTATTTATTATACAAATAATTTTTTTTTTTCAGGAGAATTCTTCTTGAAGCATCTCATTCAAAGTAAAATAGATGAAAAGGAAAAGGAAAATCACTGATGGAATTTATATTCATTGTATTTATTCTTTATATTGACAAATTACAAAAGACATGTAAATAATATATAATTGTAAACTATAATTAATAATAATATTTATCAAATAAATATAATAAAATATAGACAAATATTTTTAATTAAAAATGTTCATTTATTTTCTCTAATATCCAAATGTTTTCATATATATATATTTTAAATTCAAATTATATAGAATATATCACAATAAAAATCTTAGATTAAATCGCATAACAGATGACACCACATATAATTTAACTCTTGCCTGGTAAGTTATGCAACTCTGTCAGATTTTTAATTACTTAAAATAAAGTACGTTAAATTTTTAATTGTATTAAATAAAAATTTGGTTAAGCAGACATTAAAAGAAAACATTAGATACGTAACTTATCAATTCTGGTAGAGGTAGACTCCAATTAAGAGAGAAAATAGCCCTATGCATGGATTTTAAAGTATGCTCTCCACTCGCTCTACTACCGAATTTTATTGGTCACGACTCTGTTGTTAAAGGAAAAGTATGACGTACAGGGGCACTCAAGTACTAATTTGAGATGGAGAGCATATATTTTAAATTAAATAAATTTAAAAAATATTGCAGCCTGACATTATGACAATGTCACAATAACTAATTGCTTTTTTTTTTTCTTTTTTTTTTATCAGAACCTGTCATTTCTCGGATCACCTGTGCAATTGTACTTTAGTTAATTAATCTGACTCTTTCTAGAGGACAAAGACTAAACATTCTTAATGTGGAGTCGTTCTATATACTAACTGGTTTACAAATCATCTATATGTCGTTGTCAATGACAGTTTCCTACTATTTCCTTCTATTATTTAAAAATAGATGATGTATCATCTTCTATTTTTATGGTAAATAAGAAAATTTGTATAGATTATTCACAATTCTCTTATCGTTGAAGTATAAAAAGGTCAGAAAAATGATTCTTAGTAACATAAATATATATGTATAAGTATTAAAACATTTAAAATTATTTCTTTATTGAGATGTTTTCAATTAAAATTAAGAATTTGGAGTTTATTATGTGTATTTTATATTATTATTATTATTTTACTTAATTGCCAACTCTATTCATTTTATTTGTCGATCTTATTCACCATTTATTGTCTTATTAAATACGTTTTAGAACAATAGAAAGAAATCGATATCGGGAGCAAAATTTAACAGAATTGAACAATTTTCTACAATAGATAACTTATTAATTCTGTTTATCCTGCTCTATAAATTTCCTCTGTAGCATGTGACATGTGAAATTTTCCTGTAAATAATTTACACAAACTTTCCTGATATAACAAATGTCACCTGTCACATTTTTTTCGTATAGAATAGTCAGTCTTACAGATAGAAAAGAAATGGCTACTAAAATTGTATAATAAATAAATACTATCAGTTAATAATAACTCTCAAATGTGGAAATATCTCGTCTCATCAATGGAAAATTTCGAAAATTAGACTATTACACTGTATAGGCCACGAGCTTCACATTAGTTCAATATTAAAATTAAATGTAAATGTAAAATGAAAGTATATTTTTTAATTATTCTTTAATTTTTATTGTAGAAGTAAAGAAGTTATCCAAAATGACTTTGTAAGTTAATCGATCGTCCATCACGTCCTTCTGTTTGCAGAATATAATAGACCTACACTTAACGATTATCCGATAGAAACTGTTGCAGATGACATTTAGCCTGTTGAAATGTCATTTGCAATCACGCATTTCTAAGATCTCACTTTAAATAAATCATTGTTTGAATGAGAAAAGAGGATTATATACATCGATAATGTTAAATTGATCCAATCATTCGACTTTTGTTCCGAGTAAATGTAATTATTCATCGTGTAATTTATTTCGGGCGGATCCAGTGTACAATATCTAAAAGTTTACTCTTCGCCCACAGCTCTAGTGGCTACGTACACAGTGGTACAAGGGTAAATACAGTGTTTAAGTTTGCACGTTCCCTTGTATTATATGTTTTAGTTACGCTACTGATTTTATTTAGATTTAATTATCGATATGTGGAATTGATTTGGAGTGATATTTTCCTCAAAATTATTCCTATCTTTATATCAATAAAGTCCAACTATCCTTCCAAAATCATTGTTTTTTTTTGTCTGTTTGGATAACATATACATCGCAGTTTGCATTTTAAAGAAGAAAGCTTCCTTTGCCGGTTTTGTATGCTGTCAGAAAGTAAATATCTCTGTCACAACTACCTCGTATTTTTAAAGGTTCGAAACCAAATGAAGTTGTAGCAGTTACTCGTATAACCAAAGGATACAAAATGGCGAATATTGTTTGTAGGTGTCAATATAAATCCATTCACAGTTAAGAAAATCCGAATACATACTGTACATTACGTAAATAATTCATATTTATAACCTTTAAGTGCTATTTTACATTATCTTAGTTGCTCCATGATCGAAGCAAAGCGCTGGACTAGAATCCAGAATTTACTAGTGTTGTTTTCCTTTTACTTTGGGGGTGCAAGGGCCCTTGGCTCCATCTTGGTGCGCCATTGACTGGTAGTAGTCAGTTGGTCGTGAGTTCGCGCCTTGGTTACGTGGAGTTTTCCGGGTTTTCTTCACATTTAAATATACTTAAATATGAGCCAATTTCCCTCCGAAGAGGATCTCCTCGGCAGATCGCCAGTGTTACCATATACAAACAAGCAGGATACGCAATTAATTTAAATAACGAACAAGCTACAGTCGACCCCCCTATAACACTGTTGATTTTTCCGTTTTATATGAATTCCATGTTGTACGAATCACTTAGATTTTACAAATACGTGTGCTAGGCTGTGAACGGCTCACGTATTTGTAAAATCTAAGTGACTCGTACAACATGGAATTCATATAAAAAGGAATAATCAACAGTGTTATAGGGGGGCTGACTTGTATTTCTTATACAAAATCTTATAAATTCCAATAAATTCATTTACAAATTTGCAATTTATAACGCACGTTTCTTTCATAATCGAATTATAGGAGCCACGGAGCGGGATCACGGGTCAAACGCGTTTATCAATCACTGGGTCATCGTTGAAAAAAACAAGAGTACGTGACGTTAAGAAACAAAACAAAACACATCACTCATCAACGTTTGAAGTAACGGTAAACAAAGCTTGTTTTTCGTGTAATATTCTTAATTCTTTTTTATATTTTATCGAATTTATTACAGCTAAAAACAATCGTTTTAATTCTAATCGAGGCATCGAAAAGTTCATACTTGAAAATAATAATTAAAAAAAAAAATCACTCAATGTATTCGCTGCTCGTTAACATCCTGTTGTTGCGAAATTTCAATGAATCATCGCGAGTTAATATGCAATTTTATTTTTTTCGTATGATTTACTGTTTTTCGTTTGATTTACTGTTTGAGACTCTCGAAAGACCAGCTATGGAAAGGACAGCCGGTATTAATAACCTTCTGTTGTGTTACGGGATCGAAACGATTAAGATAAACAAGGTCGTATGTGACCATGAAATAGCTATCGGTGGAAGAAGATAATGATTTTCACGATAAGCTTTTCTAATTAATTAAATTCGAGTCTTGGTTCACCCCTAATTTCACTTCAAGAATGTGTATTTTTGTCACTCTTTACATGCAAATAGATAAAGATTGTCATAATAAGACTCGATCATTTTACACGGTGTGTAATTATGATTGGTGAAGATCCATACGACGTCTTAATTTAAACATTTCTAAACATCGTTCATCTTCGTTTGCTTCGTCTTTCTGTCAAGGTTGCTTTAGGTCGCCATTCCGGTCCATCTACTAATTCTATCGAATGTTTTTCTAGCGTAGGAGTATTAACATATTCTTCTCATCGATTACCAAATTGTACTTTTTAATGTTTTTATTATTATTATTATTATTTTATTTCGGTCAATCGGCTTTCTTTTATACTCAAATATAAACTCGATCGCGGAAGTAGAAACAGAATTTTCTACACTACAAATGGTCCAATACACTTACAAAATTTAATTTACAGATAACTCGATTAAAAGGAATTTTAACACAATATATAATTCTAGTTTTAATAATGCAATACGTTTAATTCTTTTTGTTTTTCTCAAGTACTATAATGTACTTTTTAAAGTGTACTTTATAGTACTTGAGAAACAAAAATGTACAACGATACGGTTTCAAATTGGCAAAAAAATAAACATTTAATTGCATAAATTAGTAATTAAACCGCTTATCGATTTAATTATAATTAGTATAATTATTTTAAATAATTCTTATTTAGATGCCGTCCTTTGTGAAACGTTAATAATCCACTTCGTTAATGGTTATTAAAGTGAAAAGGCACATTTTAACAATTATTTATTGTTGGTTTCTTGACGCAATCTTCTTAGAAAGAAGAACTCGTTTGTGAAAACGGAAAATTTGCTTAGTATTTTTGGGAATTAAATTATTAAATAATTCAATGGTAGGTATTAAAATCGATTCAATTTTTGGCGTAAATATTTAATATCATTACGTCGTATCCGGCTTTTTTGTTTTCTAACCTGTTTTTCAATGAGATAAAACAAAAATAGAGATGTACTTACGTAGAAAGGAAGCTTTTCTACATAGATAATCCTTAACAAAAATAGTCAACAAGATGCTAAACTTATTTGCCTTTTATTTATCATTTAATTCCCTTTTATAAACTACGATAATCGCTAGCGTAATTTCTATATTTAATTATAATTTTACTAATAATTTATGAATAAAATATTATAAATTCGTTACTTGTTCCTGCTCGGTGTTACGCACTTAACCCAGATACTAGTTTTACAAATTTATATAGTTTATCATTAATGTAGGTTGTAGCGAATTTACTAGGAAATTTTAAGCGTATATCATTAATTTAAATTAAAAACTTAATTATAAACGATAATAGATGAAATTTTAAGCTTAATTATATGTAATATTAACAGTACGAATCGACTTTATTTAGAAAATTTAATGATGTAAAAAAGCAAGCCAAGAAAACTTAACAATGTAAAAATGTATCGTTTTAGAATTATCGTAAAAGTTGTTTAAAGTGTTTATCTTTTATTTTTTTAACCGTACGAAATGCGAAATCTTTCGTAACAGTAAGGTAAGAGTGAAGATAGACGATACTCGGGGCTATGATCTCGCAACAGGCTTTGATGGATGGATGCGCTAGAAAGGTATTGTATACGTCACAACTACGCTCGTGCAATACTCTGTTACGTTTCAACTGTATTTTATTCATTCTTATTTTCCTAATTTTCCCGCTACTAGATTTCATTTAGAACAAGAAGGAATGTTCTTTACACTTAAATCCGAAATGTCCAGCAAACGGGACTGTCGTTTAAGTGTTATTCGTAACGTTATAGAAAGGAAAAAATAAATTGTAAAAAGTTTTCTTATTTCTTTTTAAATAGTTTTCTACTAAATATTAATTAATTCAAATGTTATTAGTTTATATATAAACTTATCTATCTCGCGCGAGAATCTTCTTTTTAATAGCCAAATTTATTTTTTTTTTTTCTAATGGATTAGAATATTTTATATTTCGTTATTATTATTAATTTTTAAATAGAGATTATTCTTTTATTCGAAAATTAACGACTGACGAAACGGATTCCTATTGATGTATCCAACAAAACGAGATCGTGTCGACGTAACCAATGGCTTTTTGTGACGTCACAAAGAGGCGTATCGTAGATTTTTATTTCGTGTGTTCTGTTCGAGAGAACGATTTCGACCTTCGACCGTTGCAGCTAGTTGTCGTTAATGTTAGATAATTTCTTTGGCTCATGGATAACACCGGTGAGGTTAGAGTCCCGTCTGTACCGGGCACGGATAAGAAAGAAAACCCAACAGTAAGTGTGACTTGTTCGATTAACCGTTGTATGGATAAAGTCTCGTCGTCCCCAGTCGTTCGGAGGAAAGAACAAGAAGATTCCTCCGGTAATCAAAGTAGCGACAGCGATAACCTGGATCTATCGGGTCATAAACACAACATCGATAGTTACAGATGCAAAGATGCGACTGGGGAAGGTCAAAATGCGTTTGTGGTTCCCGATAAAGAACTAGTCGACAAGATCAACGGACAGATCGAACAGTACTTTTCCGACGAAAATATTTTAAAAGATCCTTTCCTCCTAAAACACGTCAGGAGAAACAAGGAAGGATACGTGAGTTTGAAGTTGATCGCATCGTTTCGGAAGGTGAAATCCTTGACCAAAGACTGGAGGGTGGTGGCCCACAGCCTGAAGCAGTCGCTCAAACTGGAAGTTAACGAAGAGGAGACCAAAGTCCGACGCAAGGAACCGCTTCCCGCACACGACGAGACCACCGTATCGCGTACGGTGGTGGCTTACAACCTACCCTTCGTAAAGCCCACGGTAGAGAACGTGGGAGAGATCTTTTCTAAATTTGGAGAAATCTCCCTGATCCGCATCCTCCGTCCGGGCGCTTCCGTCCCTCCGGAAGTCAAGAGATTAAGTAACAAACATCCGGAGATAAGTTCGGACGTTTGCGCGTTGATAGAGTTCGAAACGTACGAATCGGCGCTCAAGGCCGTCAAACCTATACCCGATTACGTCGACCTGCAAGTTGTACCCATCGTTCAGAGGGTACCGAAGAAAGAAAACTCGACGCAGAAGGTCTCTCCTCACGTCGGTTCGCAGTCGGATAAGAACGGCGAAGGAGGCAAGAAGAAGAAACGTGGCAAGAAACCGGACAGACTGGAAGAGATAAGGGGGGAAGAAAGCGAATCTCCGTTCGTCAGCAGTTGTTCGGAAGCCGAAAATTCTCCCAAACCCAGGAAACGTTCTAGCGGTTCGGTCGGATCCTGTTATCTAGCTCAATATAGAAACGAATGCAACGGCTATCGACGAGGAAGCTTCGGAAACACCAAATCGCCAGTAAACAGCCCGGTTGTGATTCGTAGGTGTTTCACTAACACGTCATATAGACCTAAATCACATAGTTATTGCGAAGGTGATCTGATGGCCTCCCTGTCGACGTCGGGCTCCTGGATACAGAAGCGACCCGTAACCGCCAACGGACATTTTAATAATAACTGCATCAATTCGCGACTTCTCATTCCCGAAGGCGTCATTCGTCTTCCGAGAGGCCCCGACGGAACCAAAGGATTCAATTCCAACCGCACTCATCAGTTCGCCATTGTCAATTACTAGCTGTCGAAGGTCCGAATCCAATTGTAAATACACCGCTATCGTTTACTTTAATCGATCTTCGACAAATGTGTAAATAGTTCGATTCTTCTGATGCTTTTTGCTAAAATTCATGTTACGTAGTTCTCGTGATCTGTTTTTTTGTTCCAATAAATTAATCAAATAGCGGCAATTATTTTCTATTGACGTTTATTTTCAAAAACCTAACCCGTTATTCTCATATCTGCTTATTTATAAATATATGTAGATTAGTTATCTGCGTGTGTGTATATGTGATGTCATAACGGTAATTACACAAATCTCTTATCATTATTTCACATTATTTTTCCTCCTAATAACAAGAAAAGTTATAAAATTTTCGTTACAAAGCTTATTATTTTTCACTACAATTTACCGTAACTAATTTTTCTATATATTTAATTAACAATTCCTTGAGGAGCGATACACTACGGGTTTTGATATATATAAGTCATCTTTGAAACTTCACGTATGAATTTCTGGTATACAAAGATACCATTTACTTTGCGCTAATAAGAATATAAGGAATCGATTACGCAACGGATTATACAATGGGCGCATTTAATACCCGGTAAAGCGGTTGCAACATGGATGCGATACGAAATTATCGGGCAACGAGCCCAATGATTTCGTAGAGCAGTGTTTGTTAATTTGGTAAAAACTTTATCACAAAACAGTGGCTTTTTCCTATTTTAAAAAACACAGCAATACAAATGAGTGTACTACAACTTTTTAAAATGATTTCTAATTTAGTCATTTTGGAAAAATATACATTGCATCCTACTTTTATCCAATACGTACTGTACGGTAAAAAGTACTATGTACACACAGTCGACCCCCATATAACACTGTTGATTATTCCGTTTTATATGAATTCCATATTGTACGAGTCACTTACATTTTACAAATACCTGAGCCGTTCATAGCCCGGCACACGTATTTGTAAAATCTAAGTGACTCGTACAACATGGAATTCATATAAAACGGAAAAATCAACAGCGGTATAGGGGGATCGACTTTATATGCATATAATAAATTTGTTTATAATCAAAAACTATACACATTTTTGCGCTTTATACATCGTGTTTCCCCAAAGTATTTATAAAAAACAAAGCTGCAGCATTAATATAAAAATTTTCATTTAAAAATATTGATATGAGGTAGTATAATTAATAGTTAAATATCGCGAAAAAGTTTTAAACTTCAGTAATATCACGAGTTAACTTTTGTGCACTATAATTATAGAACTATAGTATAAATTATTCTCGTAAAATAAGTATGTTAGATAAGAAATTATAGAAGATATGTACGAAAAGATAAGGAAAAGTCATAAAACAAACTCTTTACAGAGTGTAGCGTCATCTAGTCGCAAAAATAATCAACTAGACCTACTTTAAATAATTTTTTTTAAGTTTGCACTGTTTTCTGTGTTCGATTGTTGAATTTATATATATATATATATATATGTTAATAATAAATTATAATAAANATTATATATATATATATATTAAGGAAGTCGTTAACTTAACCCAGCACTTTTTGGACCAGTGTGGTACCAGATTACCAGGAATTTTTAAATTTAATTTTTGCAAAATTCGATGTTTGGGATTTGAACGTTGCAGTGATTGTTATACATTTTTTACCCCTTGCATGCTGTTTGTTTCCAATTTGTTTATGCACACTCTTTAATCAGTTTACTATAGTATACGATTATACTGTGTTATACTGTAAAAACTTTATTACTTGGGATTATTAGTACATACCAAGTAAAATCGGACTATTATCGGATAATTTCGGATTATTAGAAGGTGCCAGGTTAACAAATTTCTATTATATACAATATATATCGCGATTTGAACTTACTTTAAGTTTATATGAAAGTGACAGATTGGCTGAGGAATATTGGACCACTTCGATAAAGTTTTCATAAATCTTTGTAAAAGTAAGAATAAAATTAATGAAAAACTAGTTTCACTAATTGGCGAGAAGAGAATCTTCTGATATTTTCAGCTAATGCAGATTTTATTGATTGTTTTTATTGAATTAATGTATAGAATTTGCTCGTTGAGATTTTGCTACAAATTCCACGATTTGTTTCTCAGACAGCCAGATTATCAGGAATTTATCGCAATTTATTCGTGGAATTTAATGCATGAGATATCCCCAATGCAATGCTCTTTAGTTTACTTTTGACTCTTTTTCGTCCTGTGGGCACTAAGAGGATCTTCCTGCATCGTGAAACCATGCTGACAATGGGCCTGGATGAGAATTTAAGTATAGGCCTAATCGTGTGGATACGTAATTAATTCTTAATATAAATTAAACTAACACAAAACTAATCTTGCTTAATTAATTACCATTAAGTCAGAGAGAATTATAGATTTATTTCGTTTAGAAAACTGAACACGGAATCTGCATATATTGAGAATTTTAACTAATCGATTTTGTATTAAACCACAAAATCTGCATTAACCGCTGATCAACTTTAAAACTTATCTCCGATGTTAAGGGGGATACTACGAATGCGACGAGTATAAACATAGTAATTAATAACATGCTTAATGAAGCTAAAGATATTTTAAAAAGAAGGTTAGTGTCAATTAATATAACTTAATATATAAAGAAGCAAGATATATACGTAGCAAAAGCATAAGTTACGGCGAATAAATATTCGAAACGTCGATTCAGATGTAGAAAATAATCTAAAATTTCCATTGTTCTATGAATTTCGCTCTCGTCTTCACTACTGAATTTTCTATAAACTGATAACAGTAATGGCTTCCTCCGTAAAATACTGTATTGAATAACAGCATATAAGAAAATCAATTAATAAGTTACTTGCAAGAATGTCATATCGCTAACCCCGAAAATTAAAATCCATTCCCAACACTAGTATCTCGGCTTCGACAGATGGTACAAGAACTGTAAAGATATAAACCACACCAAAAGCTCCATAACCGTGAAATATATTTTAGTAAGAATCTTTTTATATCTTGTTCTGTTGGCACTGGAAGTAAAATGCAAACCGATATATCTTGCCACTTGTGATAATAGGATTCAATGAACATACTAAACATAAACTGCTCCATCCTGTCTTTAAAAATTATTTGAAAATTAATGATAGTAGAGGAAAATCGTGAAGCTTAAGCTGACAGAATTTTTGTATGCTGCGCTAGATTTAAATAATTATAGCTGCTCTATGAATTTTTGTATTATAGCTTCATTATAGATTTCTTTGGAGGAAAATATTTGCATTTTTAATGGGATACTTTACACGTAATGTGAATATATCATGTTAATTACTATCATTCTGATTATTCTATCCTATCTGTAAGTATTATTAACATTCCTTTTACTAAATAATTAAAACATTTAAATAGAAATTCTAAGCAGCATATTTATGTTATAATTAATTTTAGCAAACAAATTGGTAGCCGGTGGAGCTTGGAACCAGCTGGATTTTCACCTCTTAACTTAGAGCTAAAGGTTGAAACACCAGTAATATTTTTGCGAAATTTGGCCCACAATGGGGCTGCCGGGTGGTAAGGGACGGGGCCAGACATATTCGAACGGAGACCTCCCCCCGAAAAATTCCTGGGGATTTTTCGATCCGTTCGGATCTGGGGGACCCCTCCTGGAGGTCCCCCAGAGCGGTGGGCTGCCACCTTGACCGCTCGGCCATCCGGCCGCCAGCAGGAAAGACTAAAAATGAAGGTCCCTGATTGCCATTACCATTCTTTTTCATTGTTTTTCTTCTTAATATGAACTTCAAATCCTCTAGTTCATTCATGATCCTTATATTCTTTATATTTTACTAAATCTATCTGAAGAAATACTTGAACTCTTTCCAATCATTATTTAGCATTGACACTACCATCAGTTTGTTTCAGTCTTAGGTCTTAGGCTAAATGATTTCAGTTGATAAGTTATGTTTAATTGTAATTCGTCTAACTTTTGAGTTGGAACGAGTGAGAGCTTTCCATTTCATTTATTTTTCACAATGTTTCTATTTATATATCCTAGCTCTACAGTTTATATAAAGTCTTCCAATATATATCGTTAATCATTTTTGCATAGAACTTATCTGTTAATTCGAACTTCATGCAAATCATGTTTAAAGCTTCTAATCGAATTTATTCTTTGTAATGTGACTAATGTATTGTTATTGAATAAATCATTTATCTACTACAAATGTATATGCTATATATAGTTTTAACAAAATTTCTAATGAATTTACAATGATTTTTATTGGAAAATGTCGCGATTCCAGTTTTTACCGTAATGGCAATCCCTTGGAGAAGGGTGATATCTTGACGTTGGTTCCGTGGATTTCAATGGAATTCATTTCCTGTAACTAACTTCACCCGGCGGAAGCATTCGAAAGTATTTTTTGGAATTTGTTCCTTTTTTCACGGTTTATCAATATTTTTATTTTATCCTGGAATCATTATTTGATAATTGTCAACTTTCATTTATCCCAAAAACTCGATTGTGAAAGGTAAAAATAAAATTTTCCAATTTATACAAGAAGCATTACTAAAACTCTCAAACTTATGTTCATACTATTGGAAGTAGTTCAGCGTGGCACCCTTTCTGAGATGAAAAATTGGTGGCACAAGATCAAGGCATGATTATAATTATTAAACAATATATCTAAGTTGCTTATTTTATTGAACAAGTTTAAAATTCCCCCAGGATTTGCTTCTAAATCCATCTCTGACCACATCCTACAATAAAATACAGCCTAGTCCAGTGTTCCGCAACCTTTTTCTACTTGCGGCACACCCATGACTCAACAAGGCACACCAAAATGTTATTCCGCTCAAAAACGTATGATATGATACTATTAATAGAATTACATAATGCCACTAACCTATTATTATTGTTATTAAACAGATACCAACACCTGTGAGCAAATTTTCTTTACATATAATTTATTAGAATACATAAAAATGGGTGGCTTGTAATAAAGAATAAACAAACATCAACTTATTTTATCAGTACTGCGGCAGAGAATGAAATACATACAAAAGATAACATAAGAAACACAACAACTGTGATAAAAATATATAAATAAAATTTGAAATTAACAGAATATATAAAAGTTCACGTCACACCTTTCACCATGTGACGGTACATCAGTGTGCCGCGGCACACCGGTTGCGGAACACTGGCCTAGTCATTTGCTCTGAACACGTGTGTCGATGCCT